CAGTTACTTCAGGAAAGCTTCCTGCAAAGTTCTTTGGGAAGACCTAGGGGAGCCTAATCTTGGACCGCTACAGTGTTTCCCCTCTGTGTTTATCTTCCCTGATTTTCTCTCTGTTTCACCACAGTGTGAGAATTTAGAAAGAGTATGTGGAAAAAGATACAGGAAGAAAGAGGGCAGAGGGCTGAGGGTGGAAGCTGCACGCCCCCCCGTATGATGCCTGCAGTGTGAAATGAAGAGATGAAGTAGACATCAGAAGTGGCTGCAAGCCCTCCAGCTTTGGGTTCTGGGTGCCCAGGCCAATGTACCAGGTTCTGTGGCACTTTCACGCCCATGAATGTCAAGTCAGAGGACAATGGAACTAGTTTTCCCTGTGTGAAGCTTACTTGCATCTCTGCCCAAATTCTTACATGCCTCCTTGTTTTCTGCCTCAAACTGTTGTCATTAAGTCCTTCTGGACTCTAGGACGAGCCACTTTGCTCTAAGAATCAGCGCCCCCTCCCCCCACACTGTGCCAGGGAAGCCAAGGGTTTTCTGTGAGTAGCACGTCTTTGGAAGGAGATGCCCACTCCCCTGCACGTCGGAGCCAGCGGAGCACTGCCCTGAGCCTGGCTCTCCTGTGCTGGGTGCAGGTGCTGCACACCACAACCCTAAGGAACTATGGGTTCACTAACACATTTTCATGGTACCTACTCCACCGTAGCTTCGATCCTGGCCTTCAGATACAGCTTCCACTGAGGTCAGGGCAAACCCCAGTCGCTGTTTGAGGCGCCATCATGCCTGGGACTGTGGGTCAGACCTGTCACTGAACACAGTTCTCAGAAGGATTGGCCAAGGACATGGCAGGAAATAAACACAGAATGGACTCCTTAAATGCTCAATGCACCAAATCACTGTAGGGAACTATTTTCCTGATTGCTTGCTTCATGGAGGAGAGAGAAGAGAAGAGGGCAAGCTTGAGAAAAGAAAAAGCTTCTTCACAGGCCCAGGGGACAAAAGGCTTTGGTAAATTGGAGATAACACAGAGAATAAAGCAACAGAAGAATCCGGAAGTGAAGAAAGTTTCAAAAGGAGAAAGATCATTAAAAGTGGGAAGTTAGCTCTTAAGATAAGATGAGCCAGTTGAGGAAGGCCAGTTGATGACGAGTAGTGATAAAATGAAGCTGTTACTTCCGTTTGGAAGAAAACCAAGTATTCCATGCTCTGGAAATGCCAGCAGGAGCCGGCCACCCAGAGCAGAGCGTCAGGGAGGGTGAGCATGCGCTTCCCGCCTGTGCCCAGCTGCCGGCCCCTGTGCCGCTACCCTGTCCGGAGACCTTGACGCTGCAAGCTGGGCAGCAGTCCTGTCTCCTCGTCAACCAAAGCTCACTCATCCTGGCCCTCACTCTTTATTCACACCTTGGGCTATGATGGGTCGATTAGTGAATTGATAGTTTGATAATTGATTCGGATGTTACCTGTTTGAGAAAATTGTCCATAAATAGCCACTTCTTGGCTGTCTGATAACTAGTGAATTTTTAATATTGTTGGGCCTCCATTTCCTGAAAATAAAGGAGGTGGACTTAATAACATCTAAGAAAGAGGTGATAGTTAACTTGGACCTTGGAGTGAAACTGGAAGGGGAAGACTCCAGGGTGCCCTTTGTACAAGAAGGTAGGAGAGGAGGAAGGTGTCTAGAGGAAATGAATGTAGCGGCAAAACTGCCTGATAGATGGCAAGCTGAGCATAATTATTGCTGCATCCTCAAGGGGTAAGGAAGAGCCATGTGAAATGTCCCAGAGGGGCCTAGACTTCCTATTATGTTTATTAATCATCTTGATGAAAATCGCAAGTGTGCACTGACTAAATTCACTAACGATCCTAAACTGAGCAAGGGAGTAAATTCTAGAAACAATGGATTTGTAAGGTGAGTAGTCCTATCAATCAGCTCATCTTAATGAAAAGGGTGGAAGCACATGAAATGGGGATCTACCATAGATAATGGCAGTGAGGTCCACCCGGTAGGGGGGTCTTGAGCCCAGTTCCAAACTGGGAACCTGTTATTTAGGAAATAATAATGGAAATGTGGAGAATGAATAATAAATTAAAAACAAGCTTAAACTCATTGTGGACCAGTTTCACTCTCAGCATTTTGGTGATGGGCTGATGGGGCATTGGGCATTGAAGTAAGAAAACAGCAGGGTAGGAACAAACTTTGGGGTACAGGGCTCACATTTCACAGGTGAGGAAAAGACCCAGGTTAAGCGTGTCTCACTAGTCAGGAGCAGCAGAGACCTGGCCTACTCGCCATCACTGTCCCCTGCGGTGGTGACAGATCACCACACCTGAGGACCTACACGTTCCCTGAGAATCCACCTTGTCACAGCCCTCTCAGCAGGCTCTGTGCGCTTGGCTCATGATGTTACACTCTCTGTGTCCAACTTCGGTTACTCAGCTCGGCCCTGCAGAGCCATGGCTGAAACGTGGCTCTCCTGATTTGTCTCTCGTTTCTTCCTTACTCTCCGAGTCCTAAATTCTCCAAGGTTTGCACTGAGTAGGACTTCAAAACTCAAAGGGGAACAGAACTGGCCCCTTAGCCAGGGTTCCCACCTTGGTCTCCACCATGTTGGTTTGAGGTCCTTGGACAGCATTAAAAGAACCTCTGAATTCTAAGTATAGTAATGTGGGCAAGACACATAAGAGTATCTTGGGGCCAAAAGAGTTTTGTGCCTTGGGGATAATAAAGCATTTGAAAAAAGAAACCCACCAAATGCTTGAGTAATTAACCTTCTACCATAGGCATTTGATAAAACTAATAATCTTATTAAAACCCTGGGGTGAGTAATGTGTCTCATGTTTCCGTCTTGGTGAGCAGAGAGCATTTTATTGTGCAGTGAAGCCACACAGAGAGAGCTCCTGTGTGTGCTGGGTCTCTCTAGTCAGGTCAGAGCATCAGCTGAGGGAGGAGGAGAGGGAAGACTGGCCGTGGCAGAATCAGGAAGGAGGTGCAGTTGGCCTGTTCTTGGTTCCTTTTAGCCACTTTTCGGTTGCCTCTGCCAGGAAAGCTAATGCTGCTCCTCTGAGTCCCAGAGGGATGATGGCAGGGCCACCCTGTAAGGCTGTGCAGGTTACGCATTGCACAATTTCAGGTGGTACCATTCCCCTTTGGAAACTCAGCCTCTCTGCATGACTAGTCCCCTTGCAGACGAAGGACAGCCTCCATTTCCCAGACTGCTCATCTCTTGGAATCTACCTGATACGTGTCCTGATTCATATCCACCTAGGCCAGTGTGCCACTGCCCTGTCACCTCCTGAAGACCCGACCGGTAGCCTAAGTGGATGAGTTAAAGAACAGGAATTTTTAGCATGTGCCTGAAAACAATCTCTTCTCCTTAACAAATACTCTTCAAGATGAGTGAGAGATTGTGTTTACATGCTTGACTAGCCATCATCACAAAATTAGCTTCTTTAGAAATTCAAGTAAGTCTAATTTGTTAAGCACTTTACAGCTTGCAGAATCTGGTCACACCATGCCATCAAGCTAAGAGCTCTGGTGTTGGAGGCAGTCAGCCTGAGTTTCAGTCCCATTTCCGTCATTCTGGCAAGCAGAGTTAGGCAAATTGCCTAAACCTTCCAAACTTATTTTCTCACCTGCAAAGTAGGTTTGTTGATAGGATTACAGAAGGTAATGCACACAAAGCATTTAGTACAATGCTTGGCAAAATAGTCATCAAAAAAGTGTCATCTGCTATCATTATTTTTGTTTCACAGTACCTTGGGAGGCAGGCAAGGTGGATATTACTTCCTTTTTCCTAGAAATCAAAGCAAGGGTGGAGAGAAGTGATTTGTCTAAGGGTATGCAGTCCATATATACCAAGACTGGGCATTCACCTGTGCTCTCTGTGTAAGATTCCACCCTTCTTTCTGCCATCCTGTGTTCTCATAGCTCTTGTGTGACATGTAACCACCTATGCATCCCCAGGTTGCACAGTTGTGGCATATGCTTTAACTGTCTCCTCTCATAAAATGCCTGTGAATGCCCAAGACACCCAGATAATAGCAAACAACAGTGTGTGAATTTTCTGTCTGCAAGGTGCAAGGTTATGGGATTGCTGTCAGCAGCAGCGTGAGGATGGGAAGGCCCCCTTTCATCCAGACCCTCCGTGGGGTAGTTCATTACCCTTCACAGATCCCACTGACAGCTACAATGATCATCTTATTTGCCCAGAAAACTAGTCAGTTTGGTCATAAACAAAAATAGCTGCAGAACCAACAAAGGATCCCAGGCCATACCCGGTCCTTTTATGTATGTTACACCGAAGGCCCAGGGCTGGATCCAGATTTTATGGTCCCTGATGCTTACTCAGTTTTAGAATTTTCTTCAAAAAAGGAAACAAAGGTATGAATTCATATTTAGGTAAGGGGAATGTTGGAAATGGAGAATTAGGGATTAGTAGTTTCCAGGGGTTAGGAATAGAGGAAGTATTTAGAAAAGAGCAACGGACATGTGAACCCACCCGTGGGATAGAATTGCCCAGAACTCAGTGGGCTCACAAATGAGTACATATAAAATGGATGACATCTGAATACGATCAGTGGGTTGTATCCTTGCCAGATTTCTGGTGGCGATAATACACTGTGGTTTTGTAAGATGTTACCCTTGAACGAAACTAGGTAAAAGCTACAGAAACACTCTATTATATCTTATAACTGCATGGAAATCTACAATTATCTTCAAAAAAGAGTTTGTAAAAAAACTGGATAGAACTAGAATCAGATAATATGAAAAAAAAAATAGGCACAAGGCTTTGAAAGGCTCCTGGTAGCGAGAAGCTTGCACACTTAAGCTTCATTGGCTTCCACGTAAATCCATCTCTCATCAAAAAGTGGGCCGACAGAGGAGGAGGTAGAGTAGACATGCGAAAGCTTCTCAAGACCCACAGTGAATGTGTAACACACTTCCTAGGATTCTGTTTTAACCAGGAGTGAGGCCACTGGCTTTAAAATACACACAGGATACTTACCCACATAAATAGGCTGACTCCACTCACTCCAGAGCCCCACTGCTCTGCACACGGAGCTCACAGTTGCTCTCACTTGAATGGAATACTTAGAAATATCATCAGTTACCACGGTGAATGTATTGGTCATCATTTTTTCTGTCTAAATGGGAAAAAACGAACATTATAAGAATCTCTGGTCACATAATTTAAGGAACGCCAATTATCAGATTGGGAGATCATATACTTAAAATATCATCAGTTACCATGGTGAATGTATTGGTCATCATTTTTTCTGTCTAAATGGGAAAAAATGAACATCATAAGAATCTCTGGTCACATAACTTAAGGAACGCCAATTACCAGATTGGGAGATCATATATATGTAAAAAATGTGACTCACTGTTCAGTGACCTATTTTAAATCGATAGGACACCTGTTGATTAGTTTACTCAAAGTCTTTCAGTGTGGCTTGTGTTGGCAGTCACCCTTCAGGGGAAAGCTCTCTTCTAACCAGCATAAACAAAATGGGCAACTGTAAGGTCTAACTGAGCCATCGAGTCTAATTGACATTTCCTGATTGAAATACTGGAGGGTCTATGGCAGTCTGCATGGTCCTCCTCACCCTGTCCCTCCACATTCTGTAGTCGCATCACTACACTATCTCTTGGTTTCCGTCATACCTAGAAGGCATCCGAAAACTACAATCTGCAGGCCAGTCTGGCCAGCTCCCTGTTTTTGCAGGGCCTGCAAACTAAGAATGATTTATATATCTTTAGTGATTGAAAAATATCAAAGGGATAATACTTCATGACACCTGAAAATTACATGAAATTGAAACTTCAGTGTCCACTCATAGTCTTCCTGGAACACACCCACGCCTCTTTGCTAGTGTGTTATCTATGGCTGCTTTCGTTTTGCAGCTGCTGAGGTGCATAATTGTGACAGTAACCACATGGCCTTGGAAACCTAAAATAGCTGGCTCTTTACAAAAAAAGCATTCACTGAATGTCTCAAACAACTGGAGCCAGAGGTTGGGAGGAGGGTGTGCATAGAGAAGAGGAAATTGCAGAGACCCTGAATCTAGGAAGGGCTGGGTTTGAATACTAGCTCTACCTCCAACCAAGTGCAGGGCAGATTCTTTGACCTCTCTAAGCCTCAGTTTTCTGAAATGTAAAATAGAAATAACAAAACCTAACGTATTATTGAATTAAGTGGAATTAACTTTGTAAAACCCAAGCTTAAGATAGATTAGGTTGAATCATAGAAAAACTGCCAATATTCAGACCACTTTTGACCTGCAAAAATACCAATTTGGGACGGTTCACTCAAATAACATGTCCTCAGTAAAGGCTAGTTTGCCACACGAAATTTAGTCTGATATCTAGTGTTGAAATGAGGCTGTTTTCTCACAAATGAGCCCTTCTCCTGTATTCCATCTGCTGGAGGCTGCAACTGCTATCCAGCTAATTGCCTGTGTCCCAAACCAGGGCTGAGCTTGGACACTGCATCTCACATACTCCTGGATGTGTTTCTCTCTTCCCCATACCTGCCCCATGACCACTGCCTATTTCAGGTCTGGTGAACTTTTTGCTTGGACTATTGTAGTACCCATTCAATATGACCCTTCCCCACACACTTCCAGCTTTCAATCTGCTACCAAAACTACTCTTAGACTCTGCAGATTCGGTCATATTTTAATACTAAGCTTTCAGTGGCTTCCATGGTCTATGGTCGTAGTTTTAAAAAGAGAAACAATATCTTTCTTCCTTTTTTCTTTTTTCTTTTTTAAGTTAAATCTTATAGGTCATTCTGGGAGAAGTTCCAGTGTAAGATCTAGAGTCATGATTACAATGCAGGCTTCATGTCCAGGCGGACTAAATTATGCCACTTGACTAAGGAATCATGTGCTCTCAAGCCATTGAGTTATTCCTTCTGCCTAGCCCCCCACCACTCAAAGTGCAGTTGGCTGCCTAGTGCATGTCAGGAGCAGTTTATCACAGATCTGCAGAGAGGTAAATACAGACATTGAGTATCCGTTTGGGAGCCTTCGTAGCCATTCGACATTGCCGCGTCATCTAAGTCTGTGATCATTGCCCTTATGTCTCGGTGTTTGGTTTTTCTAGCAAAATCATTTTTACTGTATTTTACAAAAGTACCAATCTGTGGTGGATTACAAATTAAACAAAGAAAGCAAGTCTTTCACCACTGGTATTTGGGGAAGCACTGGCTAAAAAAGTCCTTTTCCTCTCCCTCCAGGCAAGTTTCGATTCCTCCTGTAAAATGCCGTTCAATTCCTGTCTGTGGAGCCTGGCAGGTGCTCTGCCCTCTCGCTCCCTTGTATCTTTACTGTGGTGAGGCGACTCTGAGGCTGGGTGAGTGTGTCCACTAGCTGGGCCCCTGGATAGCAGGAACAGTGTCTGTCTTCTTATTATCACCCACAAAGAAGCCAATTTATAAATGTTTGTTCAATCAAACTGAACTTGCTTTGCCTACTATCAGTAAGGCATAAGTTTTGATCCTGATTTCTCTATTACAATTTTCTAGCTTTTTGATTTTGGGCAAGTCATTTACTCTCTCTGTTCCTCCCTTTCCTGTAAAATGGGAAGTAAAATTATATAATCAAGTTACTATGAGGATAGAATAAATTAACATAGTAAATGTTGCCACATATTGGAGCTCAATAAATGTTGGCTTTCTTCTCATTTCCTTTTCCCTTGAACTTTTAGTCCACTGGTACAAAAGAGTTTTTTAAGTTGGGGTAAAATACACATACCGTAAAATTTACTATCTTTACTATTTTTAAGGATACAGCTTAGCCATGTGAAGAACATTCACACTGTTGTGCAACCAATGTCCACTCTTTTCATCTTGCAAAACTGAAACTCTACCCATGAAACAACAACTCCCACCCCTGCCTCCCACCCCTGGAAACCACCATTCCACTTTCTGTCTCTCTGAATTTGACTATTCTTGGTATCTCGTATACATGCAATCATACAGAAATTGTCTTTTGTGACTAGCTTGTTTTACTTAGCATAGTGTCCTCAAAGGTCATCCATGTTCTAATATGTGTCAGAATTTCCTTTTTAAGGCTGAATAATATTGTGTCCTATGTATGTACCACATTATTTATCTAGTCATCCGTCAGTGGACATGTGGGTTTTTTCCTCCTGTGGCTATTGTGAATAACATTGCCGTGAACATGGATATACAAATATTTCTCTTTGAGACCCTGCTTCAAATTTTTTTGGATTTGTATATCCAGAAATAGAATTATTGGATCATATGTTCATTCCATTTTAAATTTTTTGAGAAACTGCCATACTATTTTGCAAACTAGCTACATTTGACATTTTCACCAGAAGTAGTGCTGATGAGTTTTTAATCTGACCTTTGTATTATTTTCAACCAAAAGTAAGTCTTTTCAAGATAAAAGGCCACTAAGGTATGGTTTATTTTCATAAAAACTGGGTAAATGGAAGTTACCTGTGACCTTGTTAGTTCCAAAGCTGCAACCAGAGCAGTCGCTGAAGATCATTTTTAAAATATTTCTAAAACAGTGCTAACAACTATTGGAGTGATCTGAAGAATTACCTGAAAATAACCTTTCCTTATGTTATAAATTTTTACTTCATAATCAAAGCAATGGGTTGGAAAGGCAGAAACAGGTTTCCCCCATTGGATAGAGAGAGATGTTCCTTCAGTCTCTGCTGTGACATTCATTGGAGGATTTACTCGATCTAGGTTAGAGAATGAGAGATCAGTGATGGGCTGACAAATCTAATCCACTCGAGCCCCTCAAGGCATTTCTAAAATAGCATCTTCTCAAGTACTTACCCTCAGGATTTAATTAGCTCATCTCCCAGCCACAGGACTCAGTGGTTCATATATGCCTCCTGTTTTCTAGCATTAAGAGGTAGAGATCCCTCCTGTAACCTTCAAGGACTGACCCAGTTGTCACTGAATGGTTGAGTCCCTGCTCCCTCATCTCATCACAGGACCCACCACCCCACCATCCTTCTTACTTCTTGCGTGGGACCAAGCTGAAGGCAAACCTGGTCCTGGAGAGTAATTGCCATGGAGCTCCTGCCAAGCCCTGCCTCTGCTGAGCAGGCAGGAGACCATGAGTGATCACTTCCCCCTCTGGGCTTCAGTTTTTGTTTCATTTTGTTTTAGGCGTCTTGTTTTGATTTGTTTGGAAGGTGGAGTAGGAAGCTCTTGCATGAAAAGAATGGATTGGGCTAAATGTGTCTTTACTTACAACTGTACAATTCTTTCCCATGGAATCTTACTTGATTTTCTTAAGGCAGTGTGATGTGAGTGAAATTATTTCTAAGTCAGTGTTCTTGTCTTAACTTATGTGACTTAGATCTCATGATTAGTGAATAGTAGAGACAAAGTAAGAATAAGACACCCCCGGTGCCAGAGCCTGGCAGTCCCTAAGCAGAGCATTTTTAACCAAGAAAATATTTATTCCTTTTAGTAATCTGAGGAGTTTGTCTCAATGAAATGGAAAATATACAAGAAAATGAATTCCTGGCTGTACCAGGTTTTGTCCATTTTCATATTATTATTTCCCAGGTCCTCCTCAGCATTTATTATTACATTATTACCTGTTTTCATGAAAGTAACATTTTTAGGTCATCTAAGAAATATATTACAGAACTGAATTGCCTAACCTACTTATAGGCTCTGTGATTCTTTCAAGAGCCATACTCCATTTAGATACAGATATAAATATAGGTGTATCACAAGCCAAGTCATATCCTTTAAATAATAGTAGTTTGTGTATTTATTGGATACTTACAGAAGGCCCTGTTGTAAGCACATTATCATTATCAACACACCCAATTCTCACTAAAACCTTGTAGGAAGCATTAATTTTTGCCCATTTTTTAGATGAGAAGACTGAGAACACTCAGCTAGTCAGTGATGGAGCCAGGATCCAAGTCCAGGCAGCCTGGTTCCACAGCTCACACTAGTTAACTGTGCTGCCGTTGGTTAATAAACAAGCATTACTAACCAAGAATGCTATGCAAAATGTTCCTGAGTTTCATTAATGCAAGTGTCTAGGATGAAGGAAAATATCTCCTATTTTGAGACCTGAGCAAGTAAAGTCTTAAATACTATGTGTAGATCTGAGAATCACATGCTAAGAGAGGCATGATAACTCAAGTGCATCCAGAGGGGACAGACCAGGATGGGGAAGGATCATGAGAAGGACTGGGAAAGAGAAATCTCAGGATGGGAAACCTGGCTGCCTTTCGAGAGCTGAGAGGCTCTCTTGTGGGGAAAGAGACCAGAATTGTTTGGGAATCCATCACAGGACCTGTGGACAGAATTTTGATGAAATCAGAGCTGCTAAGAAATGTAATGGGCTTCCTTCATGAGTGATTACAACTCGGGGAGCTGAACACATCAGTGGTGCTGAGGTTGAGAGGCCATGGTATCAGAAAAGTGGTCAGACTAGGCAATCTTTATAACCCCTGCCAATGCTGAGATCTGGGGATTCTGTTATTTTAGCTGTGAGTCAAGTCAGCCTTACCAATTGCATGAAGAGCAAGCAGCCGATCGTGGGGCTTGATTGCCGCATGCTTGCTTGAGCCGTTAACATGCACTGCCAGGGTGTCTCGCCCTTTGCTGCTGATAAACGTCCTTGGGAACCAGCATGCAACATTTCTCTTCAGTGTGTCTTTGCTGTATTCTTGGCATTCTTCTGTCCAAGAACCATACCTAAATTGGAACACTCAGAAGTTTTTTAAGGCAGAGGAAACAATCCATTTGCATAAGTTAAAATAGGTACTAACCGATAGTAGAGGAAATACTGCGTGTCCTCAGGGGCATCCTTGCCAACGAGCCAGGCGCAGTGAAGAGAAACTTGGTATGGCCTTGAGTGCTGATGACTGTTTACCATGGTGTTTGTAGTGCAAGTTAAATTCACAACTGAGGTTCCAGGAGATCCTGGGTGGTCAAACATAAGCAAAAAAACATTGCTCTCCATACCTTGTGAATGTTGTACTTCCTTTGACACTGTAGTGATTGGGAACATCTTAACTGTCATCAAAAAGTAGTCATCACTGCTTTAGGGAAACCTACGATTTGCAAAGGGCCACTTCAAAGGGGAAGAAGCTAGGCTTGCAAAGCCTGAGTTTCTGACATGAAAATGCTTTCTAGCTACTTAGGAAGGAGGTTTGCATAACATACATGTATGACAGTTCAATAACAGAATTATGTATTGTCATTCAGAGGTTGGTGTCCAGCAGCCTAGTTCTAATGCCACATTTGTCAGGTGCTGTCTGTGACACCTTGACCCCTACCACTGCGGGCCTCGGTTTTTCCAGTTAACTGTAAATGAGAGTGTTGGTCAAGGAAGGTGTCCAATGCCACGTCCCATCCTGAATTGGCATGATTCATTAGGTGGTACACAAATGCATCATGAAAAATGTAGATGGCTGCTCAGAAGGAAATGAGTTGTGTCTTCACTGCAAAATAATACCACCTCTTTGGAGACTCAGTGCAGACTAGCAGTTAGAGTCCTTTTTAAGACGCAGGGTCATCAGGAAGTCTTGAGATGTTCAGTCGTACCTGTTATGTTCAGTTCACTGAGGATTTCCCATGGTTATTTGACTGGAAAGCCTTGTTTTCCTTTGGCCCCCATTGTCAGCATGTTGACTGGTGTTCCTCAGGACACACTCTGGGAACACTACCCTTGTGGTTGTTCAGAGGAGGAAAGAAGCATGGTGGGCTGAGGGGCAGTGAGGATCTCATAGAAGCGGGAGTCTGCAGACTCAATCCTGAACAACAGAAAGGGGTCTTGAGCCTAGCTTAGGTCAGGGGTGAGATCATATTTATCAGTGTCAGCCTGTGTCATTCTCTCCGGTGTCTCCTCTCTGGAAGAGACCACCCCACACCCCTCCTGTTGTCAGTAGAAAAATTAAAGACAAAAGGAAGACTGGCTACTGTGCGCTATCAGCATGTACTGTCGGGCATGTTTCTTTCTATCCATCCATATGCACAAATGTGGAAACCCAGAAATGCACATGCCTTGCACTAAATGTGCTATTCCTTCACTGACTGAGCCATGCCCGTACAGCTTAGTTCCCTGATGTCTGCTGTCTCCCAGTCCCCTTCCAAGGAATTGTTCAGAATGAACTCATTTTGATTCAAGGAAGAATTAACTTTTCATTAGTGTCAACCTGTATTGGCATGCTCAGAGAATAACTAGGATTGAAGACATATAATTGAGAAAGAATGAATGGGAAGTGGCACTGGACACCTTCCTTGACCAACTCTCTCATTTACAGTTGGAAAAACCAAGGCCCACAGTGGTAGGGGTCAAGGTGTCACAGTGAGCACCTGACAAATGTGGCATTTGAATTGTGAAACATAGTTGTGAATTCCAGTTACATATTATGGAGAGGTGGAAAAGTGGGCCAAGGAGGTACACAAAGACCTGTCTATCATCTTGTGTCTTCCTTGTATTACTCTCTGTACTTGAGATCAAGCCCATTGTGGATTGGCTGCTGTATTGTCTAGACAACATGTCACAATGAGTAAATGGGAAAATCTTTACCATGCTGCATTCATTGCCAACATAATTCTGGGGGCACGGCCTTTTCGTTCAGTGACATGCAAGAGATCTGGTAATTACCCAGGGGTCAGACTGGCTAGGACGACTGTTATTAGGTGCACTCACTTATCCCCGGCCTTCTGTTTCCCTCGTGTGTGTCTGCAAGTGTTTCATCACAAGTATCCCTGGCTGTATGTATTAGGAACCCTAACTTGCCCCTGGAGAACAGTATGCAGACACTGCGATCCTCATGGTAGTTCGGTGGTTTAGTTTCATGGCTTCTGTGAACTGTCAGCAAAGTTTTACTCAGTTTGGTATGAGAAGCCATAGAATTGAAAAAAAATCTACAAACACAACACAGGGGAATACTCCGTTGAAGGTGTGTGTTGCCTGCTGTGCTAGATGTAATACGCGTGAGGCAGTGTCTCTGCCCGCAGTGGGCGCACAGTCAGGGATGGCCACCTGGGAGTCGGTTCACTATGGAAGGTCAGTCATGTGGTAAGAACCCAGTGAGGAGGAGCACAGCCCGTGAGTGGATTCCGAGGAGGAAGAGCACCGCCAGTGCACAGGGTGAAGAACAAAAGGGCTTTACAGAGGGGGTGTGGCTTGACCTGGGCTTTGGAGTATGGGGAGGATTCAGAAAGGCAAGCAGAGGAGGTGAACCCAGGGAAGTCAAGGCTCTGAGGCAAGAATGAGCCTGCTGTGGGTGGGCCATGCTTAGAAATCCTTCTGAGGAGAGCAGCGGATTCCTGTGACATGGTCCCTATTGCAGCAGATTCCTGTAGGGTGTGGTTGGAAAGATGAGGGGCCTGATGGGCCCTGATGTGTGTGTGGCCCTGTGGCTGTCGGAGCAGGGGAGTGAGAGGTGTAAGCGGTGCCTGCAGGGACGTGCCCATCGGAATCGGATGGGTGATGACACTTGGAAGCGGTCACAGCCTAGCTTAGGAGGTTGCTGAGGTGAAGAATACGTGGCAGGAAGCAATGACTAAAAAAAGAAAAGTGAGTTGTTTTCAACCTTCCCATATCTGCAAAGTCCAAAATACAAAATGGGACTTGAGGAGGCCCACCTTACCCGGTGGAGCTTTCAGTTCAGCAGAAACCCAGCAGCTTGGCCTGAGAGAGTGGCTGTCCCATGGGACGGTTTGCACACTGGCTGAGAAGCCCTCATGAAGGATGGCCACACGCTTGCTTGCAGTGTTCATGGTATCATACTAAAAACACAACACATAAGTCATGATACATAAAGAGGAAATAGCCTTAATAACTATTTTAATCTAATGTGCATTTCTTCCATTTTTTTGAAATGTCACATAAATAAAATGCATCGATTTTGTTTTGCCAGACAAAAGTAATATTCTGGTTTCATGACTGAATACTTACCCCACACTCAGCAGGGTGTGTACACTAAATATATACAGCTTTGTACACATCAGTCATATCTCAAAGTTGTTTTTAAAAATTAGTAAATTGCCCAAGTCTAGTATTTGGACATGTTTTTAAAAAAGCAATATGATAATAACATAGTAATTCTTCAGTGATTCATGAACACATTCTTAAAAACAAACAAAATGTCAGAATTAAGGCCACATTCCCTTTGACCACCATCTGTAGTTCCAGTCTCTCTGGAGTAAAGAATTGACAGTAAATTCTCCAGAATTCCATACTGAGTGAAAAGTAGTTAATACAAACTTTTTCTCCTCTCATTTAATTTTATTATGCATAGACTAGGTACCAGGTGCCTTATATATCCCCACAGTGACCTGACACTCTGGGAGGTTAGATGGCTGGCCCGGGGTTGTCTGGGCAGGAAGTGGATGAATTGGGATTTGAACTTGGCTCCTTGGGTTCAGCACCCTGCCTCCTCCCATTTTACTCAGCTTCTCTTTTTTCTCTTGGCTGTCTTATAGGAAACATAAAACCACTATCAAATCCACTATACCTTAGAAGTTACTAATTTTTTTTTTTTAGGTGAAAGCATTGTCCCAAACTGAAACCATTCTGTGCTGCTGTTAAATGCCAGGTGACATGCTTAGCACAGGTTCACAAGTTCCCAGCCATTTCAATGGAGGCACTATGGGGAACATAAACAGCCTTTTTTTTCCTTCCTTTTTTTTTTTTTTTTTAACTATCAGGGAAAACACAGTCAAAATGAAAATTGCAACAAGGATCGCTGTCAGAATAAACTTACATCTTCTTCTTGTGGAGTGTGTATTCTCACGTGATATCCTAGATTAACACCCCTTTGCTCTTGATCAGGATTTGGTTCCCAGCGTAAAAGCACTTGAGCTAAGTCAGTAACAGTGAGGCTGAAGTTGACAGGTGGGAGAAGCAAAACGGCTAGGCAAAAGCAAAAAAAGCAACCCAGTGGTCAGTTGTATACGGCGGCATTTTCAAAATTTTCAAAATGCTTCGCATAGTGTGGTGTTCGACATGGCCATTAGGATGTGTAATACCAAAATAATTTTAGAAGCAGATTCTTTAAAACTGCTTTTAACTCATTCTCTTTCTTACTTTGCCTATATCATCTACAGTTTTTTATTGAAAGAGGAATATTTTTCTTTATCATTGTTCATTGTAACTGTAGGTTTCAAACTGACGGTCATTATCCATTGATTGGCTTGGAAAATTTAATGGTTTAAGCTAACAAATAGTTTTTTTAAGACATGCAAGAAAATAGGCTAGAAACAACAGGGTGCGTGAAATAGAGTAGTGTTTCATGAATCTCTGATTTCCATTAATTAAATCTCCTTATGCATGTGTGTGTACAGGTTCATGATGTAAAGTGCATTTCTTCCTTTTGCTTCAAAGACAAAAAAATAATATTGTGAGCAAAAGTACTTAAGTAGACATTTATAGAAAGAAAGGTACTTTTTCCTTAATGAATCATTCTCTACCTTTGCTTTCAAAAACACTATTTTTAAGTTACAAAATCAATGCCTGTTCAGTTTAGAAATTTTGTGAAACGCACAGATGAGAAAACAAAAAAACAGAAAACAAAATATAACTACCCACAACCCCACCACTGAGAATGGCATTAACATGTGATCTATTCATTATCTTTTTTTTAGGGGTATATATTTATATGTTTTTACACATTTTTTTTTAAATTAGGAAAATATGGTACACACATTTGTGAACCCTCCTTTTATATTCATTTGCTTCCTGTTCAGGGTGTTTCCACTGACTTATAATATTTAATAACTTTCCACAACTGCATCCAGACTTGCCACGTACCAACTGCTGGGGTTCTGTCTGTACCTCACTGTCCTTTGGTAGCCGCTGGCCAGATGTGGATATTTAAATTAGTTAAATAACATCAGACGTGCATGAGCCATATTTTAGGTGCCTGATAGTGGCTCATAGCTGGTGGCTGCTGTGCTGGGAGAGCAGGTATAGGGCACTGTCGTGTCACAGTCTTCTCAGACCACAGTGCAATAGGGACCATGCCACAGTTTTCTTAGATGCTGTCCTCTCACCACACCCATAGATCAACAAGTTTCTGAACCAAACAGTAAAAATTACATGTTTTACTGTTTGGTTGTGAGGTCGTCTTACCATTCCCTTGCAGGGGAAGACATGTGGACACCAGCTCCAGCTTTATTCCATTGTGGCTGTATACCCACACTTGGAATATGATTTCCCATTGTAGCATAAAACATCCATTGCAACCAACTTTGCTTTCTTAAAATATAGCATGTTTAAAGAGCTTCTATTTCTGATAAGAATGAATAATCTATCCCTTTTTAAAAAAATCCACCTATCGTTTCCTAAGGGATAATTTAGAAGAGAACATGCTAACATTTTTGTATTGTACTTACTTTTTTTTTTAAGGAAACACTGAGTTTAATAGATGGTACTTACATTTTTTATCAGGAAGTAAGTGTGCTTGCAGTATCGCTGTGGCCCCCAAAAGAAACAATAATGCAGGTGCCATGATGATCACATCCTACAGAAAGATGAAAACTGAAATCGCCACCTGTTGCGATTTGTAAGAAAGTCCAACGGCACTATCTAAAGTAAAGTGTAGTCATTTGTCCATTTAACATTTAGGCAGTATATGTTATATGTTGGAGATACAAACATGAACAGTTTTGGACTTTGTCTTTCCAATGTAGATCCATAGCCTCGGACAGAATGGAATGTAAATCAGAATTTTGCAGACCCGTCTAAAAGCTATTTCAATAAAAATATGTACGGGGTAGAGGAGGAGCAAAGAAAGAGACTGCTGAGTCGACTCCGCAAGGATGAACTAGAGTTCTGGACACAAAGTGGGGCAGGGCATTCGTGGTGGGATGGATACGCGCTAGAGTGAAGCCCGGAGAGAGGGAAGTGTGGGGAGAGGAGGGTGTTCAGGGGGAGACAGAGCCTATCTTGGAATAGTACAAATTCGAGGCACAGTTAATCAGGTTGAACATAAACACCATTACCATTTTCATGAATGAATATTTACATATGAACCAACATGACAGACTTAAATGTAGAACAATTATAATGTTGGAAAGAGAAACTTTCTATCACATGTCTAGAATAAACCTGTGGTACTTTGAGCTTTGGAGAGACTGATTTTTTTTTTTAACAAACCCAAGTGGTAGCAGGGTATGAAGGGAATTAAGAACATAGTTATAGGCCTGGAGAAAATAAAAAACAATGTTTCTGCCTACTTGAAACAACTGGACAATGAACATCAATCTAGAGCAGAACTGTTAGTTAGGATGACGCAGTGTGTGGTGGTCTGGAAAGGTGGTTAAGTCATTTCAGAGTGTTTTATATGTGGAAGAAGAGAATTGAGGATCTCTTGTTAGGAGTTGTAGGTTAGAAAGCACTTCTGAAACTTTTGAGAGGTATTTTTCATGTGAATTTAATTTTGAAGTCCAAATAGTAACAAAGCTGCCCTTTTCCAAAGTGGTGCTTTCTTTTATCTGCGGGGCTTTTCCCTGCTGGTCCTGTGTGTGCCCCTGTGCTTATTACCCAGTTTGCAATGAAGAGAAGGAGTCTGAAAGGTTAAATAATTTGTTAGTGATCCAACAGCTGGTAAATAGTGTAACGTAAGCCCAGTGTTGGCTCCTCGAACAGCAAAATGTATGTTCTTTACTAATTTAAGTGATTATTATTTCCAGTTTAAAAACTTATTTAGATGGTTTGGTATTTTCCAAATAAAGTTTTGGTAAAACCACAGAAGAAAGACCTTAGCTGAATGGATACCTTCAGGAAATAGCAAAACCACTCTTTAGTGTTACATCTTGAAGTAATTAACTACTATCACTGCTTAACTTAAGTGTCACAGTATAGAAGACAGAAAACACATAAATCATTCAATTCCTTTTGCAAATAAACTTAAGTATTGCTAATCAGAATTATGCCACCTCTGATAAAAATAATTCTTTTTTTCTCTGATGATTCCACACCATGTAGAAAAAGAAATTTTAAAACAATGACAATAAAAGGAAGTAATCTGATATTTTTAAATTTTTCAACAAGTGAGAATTTTAAACAATCAAAGGGAAGCTTGAGAAGCACAGATAAAAAACACAAAAATGGCAGCTTCCTCATCAAGGTAAGATGATGTCTTTGAAATGTCAGCATTCCCTGAAATGATATTATTTATGTTATTTATTCCTAGGAGGAATTCTAGGTCAGAAAAAAAATGCAAAATTGGTATTCTCTGGTGACTGGATAAGTAAGTGATATGTGGTAACCATGTGTGTAAAAATAATAAATGTCTATCCTTTATAATTAGAAGTAATAAAACTGCTGAATATCTCAGTGGGGAGATAATTTGAATGTTCTACACAACTAAGCCCTCTCCCCTAGAATTTGTTATGTATTCTGATTTTTATAGCTGTTGAAAGTACAATTAGTTTTCAAATCTGATGATTCAAAAATGTTTTGTGATTTTCTTTTTTTGCCATACCACAGCCATGCATTTTTTTTCACATCTCATTGTCACATTTTCTGTCCGAAAAGATAACTTGAAAGAAAATCAGTCATCTTACAGAGACAACACAAGATACCCAAATAGGAGTCTAAATGTTTACAATAATATCCATATTTTGTGAGCCAGATAAATTCCACACAAGGCAGGGAATTACTGGAGCTTCAACAGTTGACCCATATTTTCCATGATACTGTTCACTCTCTGCTCTGTGCCCTGAAAGCTACCTCAGCCTTTGTCCTGGCCCCTTAATGTGTCGGTGCCCAGGCATAGCCCTCATCTCTACTGGAAAACAACCCAAGTCTCGCTGGGTTGTCTCTTTAATCCAAAGATACACCCTTACGTAGATGTCAACTGGGCGATATTTCATTGGGCAAACATAGAGCTACTTGCCTAGCTTATAAAACATATCGAAATGACAGTATGTTCAACTCATTCTTCTCATGGCTACCAGTTAAAGTCCAGCAGAAAACCATTAAATTGTTAAAATAAGATTCAAAGTAAGCAAAATAAAGCAAACATAAGCTACCTACAATCATCAGAAAGATATGTTCAGTCTCGTAGAGATATCATAGACTACTTGCTCATAAGATATTTCATTGAATCTATCTAAAATTTCTCAAGCTCCCTCTGAGAATCTGACTTCTGGTTGGTGTCATATCCTTTGAAATTTGGGAGAAAAAAGGAGCACAATCTCTTGCACTACAAATGTTTCTAGAGACTTGGGTAAAGTTTTGACAACTGACAATGGATTTCCCCAGTGTTTCTAAAAATTGGTCAAATTCTACTGAAGTGCAGACTTACAAATATTTCCCCCCCCTTTTTTTCTTTTCTACTTATCTTTCTGCCTGGGGCATTTGCTTTATAACTTTAAGGTTGTACTGAAGCCCTGTTTTTAGAGCTTTTTGAGTCAGCTGTGGTGACATTTAATTCCAGACACAAACTCAGTGCACAGAAATTAAAAACCATCTGAGAGGATTTATGCTCTGTTAGCCCCTTAAAAGTAAAGAGTTTACTTTTTACTTCCTCTTTTTTTTTCCTGTATAGCATAGTCAGCAATAAAACCTATCTCTTGGGGGATGAAGAATAAATAAATAAACCAAGTTGTAAAATGCAGATTTCGTGTTTAACTGGGTATATTGCATTGCCCCCAGATGAAAAACTGCAGACTCCTAAAAGTGTAAATGAGTAAATACGGACCACATATAATGCATGAATTTTTAAAAACTTTTTACTACTACTGGACTTAATAATTTTCTGAAATGACCATAAAATACAATTTGTAGGTTCAAATTGTTGCCACAGACAATCTTTAGCCAAGTATAAAAAGTGCTGCCGCCCTAAGTATTTTGAATATGGAGAAAGAAGGAATTAAAGACATATCTCCCAGTGGTTAAATTTCACTTGGGGTGATTGGTCGTCCCACATCCACTCTCCCCAGTCCTGGCCATACCTGTTTCCAGTGGTCCTCTCTCTTCCAGTGCCCGTATTCAGGGGGAGAGGGCCAGGACCTCATGCATCATGTTCATGCTTTCAGCCGCAGGCGGCCCTGGCACCTTGCACAGTGTCAGGCATAGGGCAGATGCTCAGTGTGCCTGGGATTGTGTAGAATAGAGGCAAATTAACACACACCCCTTAACAAGTCAAGCTGTGTAGGGTCACACCTAGTGTAGGTCAGGTTAGATCTGAGCACAGCAGGCTGGGAGCATGTATCAAGTCTGGCCCATTTGGGGAAGTGTGGTCCGTTTGGCAACTTGTGATTTCCCCAAGCAGCATTTCAAGTAATGAAAACAAATAAGGTCATTTGATTTCCAAAACTTTATTATGTTTTGAAAAGCAAACTGCAGGCATAGAAAATGAGCCTTATCTCTGGGTGTACCTTTGGACTTAGAGGCAGTTAACAAATAGCTACATCATTAGTATATTTTTCAATAACCTGACAGCAGGTATATAACCTTTCACACAAAATAGAAACTGAGGTAATGAATTTTCAGCATTATAATTCATTTAATCAAGTTTCAAATATGTTAATATAGCTATTAAAGTAGTCAGTTTTTCATGTGATTCTGAAGTTAGGTTCATGGGGTACTAATAGATTCTATTTTCTTCTTTTTAATCTCTTTCCTCCTTTCTTTCTCCCTCCATTTTTCTTTTTCATTTCATCCCTTTCTTCTGTATATGTGGAAATAGGTTTACATCGCTTTAGATAAATAAGCTAGTGAACATAAACATAAAACTAAGTTAGAAATTTCAGCAAACTTTTGTATATTTTATATAAAACTGAGCAATCCTGAACACCCCGAAGCCCCAGGAGAAGCAAAGAGCAGAAAGCCTTCAGAGGCCATGCGATCATCTCTCTTCATCGTTGGTGTTTCTTAATCTGTAGCTTTCTTAATTCACTCTGAAACTTCCTCCCCGAGATACTTCATTGAATCTTATACCCTATTTTCTAAACTCATGCATTTTCTAAGAAGTCTTGGCAGAATACATGTTCTCATTTTAATCTCTAAAGTATGTGCAGCAGAGGGAAACAAGACTTACATAAACATCAACAAAAACTCCAGGTGTTATTTTACTATGACTCACCTTGCCCTGGATTTGCACCCCTCAGTCACTCAGCCAGTGCAGAGGAAGAGAACACTTTGCCCAGAATAGGCATGACTTGCACGTTTTATAGCACCGTTATTAGTTCTGTCCTGCTAGTAATACGTACAAGGGGTTTTGTTTCCCCTTTTTCTTTATTTAAAAGCCTGCATATATTTATAAGGCATTATTTCTCACTTTTCCTATACTTCCGCCACCACCCCTGATGTAACGAAATTATTAGAAGGTGGAGCACAGGGTATCGTTACAGAAAAAAGGCATTTGCTCACTCGGTGCTGAATCAGCCCTGGATCCCCACTTACTGAGAAGCGATGCCCTCAGAAACAGCTGCAGGCACCTTTGGGTGCACCTTTGGACTTACAGGCAGTTCTTCACTGTTTCATCGCAGCTGTAATGGTTAAAAACTCACAGGCAGTTTCCTTTGCGATAGGATGGTAGTGGGGCTTCTCTAGCAAATGCAAGGCAGCGTTTTTAAGAGGGCCCTAATAGACGAGCCTCAACCAAAGCTCCCAAGGACCAGACTGCTGTCAGATGTAAGGATGTCTCTTGTCCAGATAGCCACTATCTGATAGTCGTTCCATCTCCATTTTCATTCTCTTGCAGGATGTTTTTTGCTTTATTTAGGAGTTGAAAGTAATGTTTACACCTGGGTTGACAAGGTGGTCGACTTTCCTGTGGGTACTCTAAAGCGTTGTGTTTCCATTTTCTTTATGCCCTTCATGCAGCCAGGGCATTTATTGCAGCTGTGCTGCAGACAGCACAAGGCACTTGATTGGACGAAAAGAAGTGGGGCGTGAGGAATCCGCCTGTCTGTGCATGCTGAGCCGTGGCGGCAGTTCTGTCTGGGGAAGGCTTTAGCCCTTCTCTGCTTTGTTAGCAGGTCCTGTGTACTCAAGTAAATAAGTGTGTAAAAAAAAAAAATAGGGAGTTTTCTGGGTGTGAGAAATCGCTGGCTTCATAGCCTGGACCCAACCTGTACAAATGGGGATGGCAGCCCATCCATTTTAAATGCAGAAAATTTATACTGATTGTTTAATCTGTTCTAGATATTAAGAAAACCTTTATACCCTGTAGTATGTTAAGTAAACTTTATAGCCCCAAAACATTAAAATAGTTCCTGTTTCCAGTTATACCAAGGCCTTACATTAAATTGCCTCCCACTTCATTAACTTGCATTTTGGACAACCAAATTCCAGGTAATATGGTTGAAACACCAAACAGAACTATATTCATTTTCAGACTGAGGAGGGTTTTCATCCCTTTTTTTCCCTTCCTGTCAAGGACCTTCTCGCTCCTGTCATCTCCTGGTTTCCAACTCGGCTCCTCTGCCGTCCTCAGTATATACTTAAGTTTAAGTAAAACTAGTTGGGTTTTCCTGTCCTTTGTCTCATTTCTTGAAAATTTTGAAGTGACTGACTAGCAAATCTGACTTTTTAAAAATGTGTCCAAGAGTGTGACTAGACAGGAATGGTGCTGAATGTATGAAGTGTCTGAGCCAGGTAGTTAGTGGATGTCTTTGGAAGAGGACCTCCGGTGTAGCCCACATAGATGGGAGGCCAGTGCAGGAGAAGTGGGAGCCTCCCAAGCCTCAGCAGCTTGGCAGGGAGGTCAGGGTTCTCTTCGCAAGGTGCCCGGCCACGGGCACCACGAACGAGACTTTGGGGAAGGCTCAGTGGGTATAACGTGTGTGAACAGCAGGGGTCCCAAGGTAACCATTTCAGCAGGTGCCAAATGAAACCATATCAGTCATTCTTAGATGACCTGAAATTGTTATCTTCTTGGGGAAAGTGAAAATAGAAGAAAGAACACAGAGATCCATTTATTTGCTACAAAGCACCCAGAAAAGTTTAGATGTAAGGAGTAGGCCAGAGGGCCTAGACATCACTTAAAGTCCTACACATCTAATTTTAAATCTAGTGTATTTGTCACTATAGAAGCTTTAAAAATAGTTATTACTCAATGTGTAAGCAGGAATTTATGGCCAGACAGGCTGCTTTAGCAATCTGTTTCTTACATTCATTTATTCACATTCATTACTCATTTAATAAACTCACTTATTCACTTGTGCACTATGCCAAGCACTGGTAAGGATTTAATGAATATTAGAACTGGCTGTGCTCTGGATACTACTCTTTGGGTATATGATTCCTTATCAGCTATGCCAATAATAATAATAATAATAATAATAATAATAACAACAACAACATTAAATGTGCTCACTTTTAGTCTCTGCCCTATTTTCTTTGCATAAGTGCAAAGGAAAATGAGAGCCAGGCTCTATACATTTTATTTTTTGTGACAGTAATCTTCTTTTTCTTTACAATGAACTATAAATGTCCAAAGACAGTATAATGAAACATACTGAAAAAATTCCCAAAAAGTTTTTTAAAAAATGAAATAAAAACTTACCATATTCCTTAAGAATATTTGATTTCTGTGGAAATCAGAGCCACAGTGAGCTAGCTCCTTGTATCTACTAGGATGGCTATGATTAAAAAGACAGACACATAATAGTGTTGGTGAAGATGTCAAATAAATGGAACCCTCACAGACTGTTGGTGAGAATGTAAAATGGTGCAAACACTTTGGAAAAGAGTCTGGCAGTTCCCTAAAAATTAAACATACAGTTACTATATGAATGAGGCAAATACCCAGGAGAGTTGGAAATACACTTTCATACCCACATTTGTATGTGAATATTCATAGCAGCATTATCCATAATAGCCTTAAAGTGGGAACAGCACAAATGTCCAGCAACTGATAAACAAATAAGGAATATGCCGCGGAGTGTTATTAAATAGCAAAAAGGAACAAAGTACCGATACATGCCACCCCATGAATGAATCTTGCAGCTGTGAGGCTGAGTGAAAGAAGCCAGTTCCCAAAAGACCACACATTTTATGATTCCACCGCCGTGAAATGTCTGGAGGAGGCAACTCTGTAGAGAGGGAAGGTGGCCTTGGACTGTGGTGATGATCGCCAAATCTGGGCACCCACTAAAAACTACTGTGTCGTATGCTTAAATGGGTGAATTTTGTGACATATCAATTACATCTCAGTGAAACTGTTAGAATAAAGTAGAAATATTCCCTAAATGGATTTAAATAGAATTCTAGGTAGTTATTAGAACAAGTCCAGTATAAAATGAATTGTGGATTTACTACCTACAGCTAAAATTAAAAGAATGTCTTTATTCAGTGAAGAAACTCAGGAGTTTACACTGTATCAGTTCTTCACTCAGTAACCAGTTCTTGTTTTTTTTAACTGTTGCTTTTATTTTTTTTATTTTCTCCTATTTCATTTAGATGTAATTGACATACAACATTGTACAAGTTTAAGGTGTACAACCTGTATGTATTATGTTTGGAGGCATGAGGGGAAAATCTGTTTTTTTTGTCTTTTCTAGCTTCTGGAGGTTCCCTAGTCAAAGAACTAGGGACCAGTTCTTTGCTCTCAAAGCCAGATACAGGAAATCACCCGCAGTGTTCAGGGGGAGAAAACAAACTATGCAATTAAGCTGGCTTTATTAGCATAAATAAGTGTCCGTTTCAGTCAAGAGATAATCTGTGTGCCTGGGACTGTCAAATGCTTCATACACATTATCACATTATCATGTCATAGACCTATAAACCTGTATTACAGATGGATAAACTGAAGTGCACAGAACAAACTTAACACAACTTCTTTGTGAGGTTCCAGGAAGTCATGGCAAAACTTTAACTCTGGAATTATCATCATTGTTTTCAAAGACAAA